GTTAAGCATTGCATATTTGAAAACACCCATAAACATGTGAGTAGAAGGGGGTGTAATTCTTTATTATTATTATTATTAAGTAGAAGGGGGCATTTTTTTAATGTACATTACAATTTACATTACATTATGTACATGTTACATGTACATTACAAATTACAACTACTATAAAGTAGTTGTAATAACTTGCTTCCCAATACGACACACAAAACTTGCCACAAGGGATGTTAGCATAGAAAAGCCTGAACTCATGTTGGAACCGGATAGTTTAAATGGGAAACTGATTGGCATGTATTTTATTTTCAGTACTTTCCTACTGAAAGTCATAAGAAGTCTGTCACACATAAATGGAAGCAAGTTTGGATTATGAAACGACTGATGGTCAACTCTCCTATGCCTCCCTGTACTACACAAAATCGAAAAAAGTATTTTGGTATGTTAGTTTTGAAACTATCTTGGCATTTACAATAACTTTACAACTGTAAATAATAAACAACTATTTAGGAATTATGTACCGGACAGCAAGACATTTTTAGAGAAAAGGTAACTTTGAAAGCAATCCAAACTGCATTCACAGTGTGCAGAAGGATTCTGTGACAACAGGCACAACAAATAATGCAGCTGAATACCATATGGAATTATTGCAGGATAGGAAACACAATGAAAGGAGTTAAAGACAAACTGACAGACAAAAACAGTAGTGCACCTCCACCACATTACAGGTAGCACATTGTACAATTCTAACAACTTACATCGTTTTTGACAATAAGAAGTTTTTGACAACATCTTACTGGTCACTGGAAAATAATAGTAAGTTTATACTTATTTTGCTTTAAAAAAATCTCTTCGATAAGCAGTGTTTTGATTTTCAGATCGTAAACTTATTAGATTAAGCAAGCTTGCTACCTAAAAGATTTAGAAACATAATTCCTTGGATGAAAGTAAAACAAACACTTATTCACATTTAAATAAGTTACATGATTTTCTCAAAAAGTAAGTCAAAATAATTTTTCAGATGTTAAACCTGCTTCTTCTGCAGGCAGTGGTAGCTGGGAGACTAATTTCTTCCATGGAGTAAAGCCACCAGTATTTTTTTTAAGAATGGATACTCTAAGAACCGTCAGAGTGCAGAATTTGAGAAAAAAAGAACATCAGTGCTTCATGTTGCAACAACATTATAAAGAGGAAAGGAACAGGAGGAAACATGCCAATGTTAAGGGAGCTCCTTAGTAGAATTCATCAGTAGTGAAGACTTAAAATGATGAATGCTGGAAAGTATATCAAAAATTGAAAACCTCTTTATATAGAACCCTAGCATAGAAAGAGCATAAAATAATCTTTATATTTTTATATTCTATTAACATTTTATAATTAATAACCTTTGTTGTCTATCTTTTGAAACAGTCAAAAACAAACAAACAAAAAACAAACAAACAAAAAACTTCAAACTTGATTTAACTTTTAAACTTGTTTTAAGAATATTTACATGTGTGTTTTTTTTTTAATGTACAGTTCTAAATAATGGATTTGCACCTGAGATGTTTTCATTGCTTTAACTCTCCTGTTTTTGTTTCATTAAGTAAAATAATTAGGATAGAATGAAAAAAGGTTCTGAAGTTGGACACTTGTGCGTCAGTGTCCTTATATAATCACAGAAAGAAAAAAAAAAAAAACACAATTTTATTTAGTCTAGTCAAAATTTGTTTTCTTCCACACTTCTTAGTCCATTACAGTATTAACAAGCGAATATAAAAGCAAGTGCATGTGAGAATTTCAAGCATCAATGTTGAAACATTTCAAAAGTGCTGATTCAAGAAAATCCATTAAACAATAGCAAATGAAAATCTGGTCTTTCTGTTCTAACTGGACCCTGTTCTGTAACTGCTCTGAAGTGGTAATTATGGTTTGAAGTAAATAAAATCACTTGGTAATAGCTGAGGTATGCTTTACCCAGATATAAGAAGAGGCTAAGCATAGCCTAGTTGTTAAAAAAGGCAGCACACACTTTTTAAGATGAAACATACAGTTATGCAACTTTTAGCTGCCTGTAAGGTTGTCATTTGACTACAGTGGGGACAGGAACAGAGAAAGGTAAAATGTGCTGCCAGCACTGTTATGAATCTGATTCTTTTGACCAATACAAAAGGAACAATAAATCACACTGTATCCGATTCAAAGCCAGTGAAACCCTGCCAACTATATAAATAGGATCAAAGTTTTTCTTTAAAATGTAATACTATTGTTATATATGGGCAGTATTTTGGCATTAAAAATATTTAGGATTCATTTAGATTAAAACTTTAATACCATATTAAAGCAACACGGTGAACAAGATTATTTTGACTTCAGAATTGAAATTAGATACATGGTTCTCATCTTAAGCATATTTGACTTAGTATAATCTAATTTAATACACTCTGCATTTAGATGTGTGTAGGTTAAGCAACTGAATGATTTTTTAAAAAGTGGAATAAGTAACTTTAAACCAATGTTTTGTAAGAGTCAAAGATGACTTTTTTTTTTTTAAAAAAAAAAGCATGACTATTTAAAAGAATTAACACCTCTACTACTGCTCTTTTTCCTGCTTTGTTTGTATTTGCAGTATTTTGTTCCCTATTTACAGTTGCTGTGGGTACTTTGAAATTGTCTCTAATTGATTTACCATGTGTTCTCTATGTTCCTAAGCAAATGAAATTATGAGAAACTACCTTCTGATTTTATTATTTTGTTTTTAGAGTGTTTTTTGGTTTTTTTTTTTTAATATTTAAATCAATTACTTGTTACGGAAAAATCCTTTGGATGCCACAAGTCATAAGTCATAGACAGACCAACATATTTTTCATAGTTTGATCATTAACTTATTTTGTAGTTATTTATGCATGTGAAAAACAACATAATTTCTAAGTTTATAAATAAGTAATAAAATCTGTTTGCAAACAAAACAATACTATATAAAGCCCTGCAGATATATACTTTAATGGCCAAATAAAGAAAGACGTGTACACCCACTATGGTAACAAGGTGAGTTAAATTTTTATTTTTTTAGTTAAAGGAAAAACCTTTCCCATTGTTCCTAATTACACCATATTGAATGTGTATTGCTCACATTCAGTGTAGAAATATCACGTTTTTCATCCAGAATTCTATGTGCTTTTTCTCAATGCAAAACCTTTATTTAACCAGGATTAAAGGTGTTCTATAAAAAAAACTGTATAATTTATAACTTTTGTTTAGGTTATAAAAACACACTTGGCAACTAAGAGTTTATCATCCCATCGAAAGTGATTGCACTACAACAAGTTTTATTTGAAAAAATATTCTACAGGCTTTTATTTGTTTTTATAATAACTTTAGTATGGTCTCCTCTCAGAGATTTTGTACGTTTACCAAATATTTGTTTTCATGGAATTTCCCCTTAATCTTTGACATATCCTTTCCCTTGCACATAATCTTTGTTTTATTTTTACATGCCATTAACCTACAAAACATAGAATTTTATTTTTGATCACTTAGTTATTATTTGAGAATGTCAGTAGATTTACATATGGATTCTTTTGTCATATTTTTATCATAATGAGCTAATATGAATATTGACACTTAGCAAATAATAAAATGATCAAACCAAAGGATATACAAGTGAAAGAAAAGATTGGTGTCTATATTTGAAACGCCAACATTAATTTTTGGATTAATCATGGATTGTGCAGAGTATATGGCATTTTTCTAATTTTAACTAGAGCTTAGAGTAGTCCTATTATAAGTCACTGTTTAAAACAACCAAGCAAATAAAGTAATGCAATGGTCATTTTTTATACATTTTAGTGTAGATAGTTTATTAATTCAAATTAGAAAAAAGAACACAGGAATATCAGTGATATATGACTAAAAAGTCATGATCTCTAAAATCAAAGTTTAAAATCCTTAAAAATTAGTGCATGCATCAGTGAATTTGTGCAGGAGATAGTATCTGAAAGAAAAGTAAAAACTTACTATGCGACACAAAAATACCAGAGAGGATACAAATTTTAATAGTATAATTTGTGGACATTATCATAGGTGTTGCAATATTGCACCTGGTGCAAGTATGTATCAAATGTTACCTACACAATATTTATTAAATATGCTTAGAATATTAGGGAGACTGGGTTTAAGGTATATGTGATACTATTAGTGGAAATACTGAAATAACGCTTTCAAATAGTTAACAATCCCAAATCTTAAGTAGCAAAAAAATACAACACTGCTTATAATGAAACAATAATCACATACATACATACTAGTTAAGTGAACAGTCTGTGCAATTACTGGACACTGACATGGAGAATGCTGCAGACTCAAAGCTGGATTTTTGGGAAGAGAAGTGCTTTGCTATGAACAATAGGTATGCACAGCAATGCCAAAATGCAAATACCTGCAATGTAACTTCATTGAAATCATAGTATCTATCCCTAGAATATACCTCCTTTGCTAAGATCACTGAAAACACACAGAATGGCTACTCTTTTCTTCTCACTAAATACAGACAGTAGATTATTAAACGTTAGATTAAGAAATTGATGTAAATATTTAAATTTAGACAAACCTGCATTTGTCAGTAACAGTGGCACATAGTCAGGCTTAAGCCACATTCGAGAAAGGAAGGAATTGTGCAAAACTACCTCTATTTCTCTGTTAAAACCGACTAGTTAAATATTACAGTCCTTGCTTTTCTGTATAATTAAGCTTTTGTTCAACCGTGAAAAAACTAGAAACTGATTGCTTGAAAATGAGCTGCGTGACCTTTGTCCCGGTTTGTCACCTTTGACCTTTAATTTGAAGACCCTGGATATCAATTCATTCTATTTTTAGAAGCAGCATGTTAAAAAGTCCACGCGTTTTTAAATTTTGTATCCTCACGTACGAAACATCTCGGGTTGTTTTTCTTTTTCTGACGTCTACACGCCAAACCGGGGGGTGCATTCGGTTTTTATTATGCAACCGCATTACACGCAGCGTGCAATGACAGCAGATGAACACTTGTCTGTGCGGTGCAAAAACAAACCAACCTTATTATTATATTAATATTTTTTTTTTTCGTGGAGCGGAGATGCCGAGGCACCTTAGAGCGAATTCGGGAAAATAAAATGACTCCAGATTGCACGCCTTTCGAAACGCAACGCCTCTTTTCCGAGAAAGAAAGCCTGCATCTGTGCTCGCATCGCTGCTCAGGCTGCCTGTGTTCTCTCGCACCGCTGTCCCGGCGGTTACCCGCTGCTCGCCGATCACCCGCTGCTCTCCTGTTCCCTTTCCCGGCGCCTCTCCACCAGCCCAGCCCGCGGCTCAAAGCAGCGCACGGCTTCCAGCCCCTGCGAGCCGAGCCGAGCCGAGCCGGGCAAAGCCTCGCCGAGCCCAGCCCCCGGCGGCAGGGCGCCGTTCAGCACTGCGGCCAGCGACAGCCGCCGGCCGAGCCCAGCCCAGCCCAGCCCAGCCCAGCCCGACGGGGCGGGCACGGGGCCGGCCGCTGGGTGCAGCCCCCCCGGGCCCGCTGGGTGCAGCCTCCCTCCGGGAGGGGTCTGCAGGCTGTGGGGGGGGAGCACGGGTCCTGCTGCTCCTCGGGCTCCGCGGCTGAGCGCTGCAGCCTGGCGGTGCTACAGGCAGCAGCCGCTCGGGCCTAGGAGGGAACCGCTCAGGTTTTTTCTCCTTGGTGCCTTTAGCACTCTTCCTCTTCTGAAACGCTAACGCACTCCGGGTGATGCATTCCCACGTCAAAATTAGAAAATGAGGCGCTGCTGAAACTGAAGGCACGTGCCTTTCACGGAAGGAGCTTCCAACACAAAAGGCAGCCGTTTGTTTGCAGCACGGCAACACAGGCACAATTTTTACCTCTCCTGTTCCTACTGCACAGGGTAACATCAGCCCTGGTCACTACTTCTGCCGCTGCCTACAGGGTTTGTTTCACTACAGCAAAGGAAACTTGGCTTCCCGGTGTATTAATAATTAAGGTAATAATTTAATTCAGTATTGATTCTTACTACTCTATACCGAGGGGAAAAAACAGTGTAATTCCTTAAAGAACTGTGGCTTAGTTGCCTCTCTTATCAGCTGTTCTCCAAACAAGCCTGACAGCATTGTCCCCCCTAGAGTTTCCTTCCCATGTTTTTTTGTCTGTTTTAAAACATAAATCACTGTTGTAGTTTTGTAAAGCAATGCCTGCAGGTATCAATCTAATAAGCACTACTGCTCTTTAATGCAATATTGCATCCAGATATTTAAATTAATTCCAACCAAATTTAAGTGTAATTGTTTTATTAATAACCGATGCCTTGCTTGTGACAGGATGTTTCTCTATACCTGTAACTATTAACTATTGCAAGCAAGACGTGAAATTCCAAAACAGCCTGCGAGGTGGGGAAAAAACAACCCTGCGTATGGCCTATTTAAAAAGAAAAGCGGGATGTTTACGTAAGGGAAAATTGTAAAATCTTTAGCCGAATTGGTAGAGTATCACTGTGTCTTCTTTCCCCATCACTGGGAGAATGCCACACACAGCTTATTAGCAGGTGTGAGCAAATTAACAACGGGGAAGAGAAAAACAAGCAAACGACTCAAATCTCTTTAGGTAATATGTTTATCAGCTCAGAGTGGATAATTCCCCCGTGTTAAGACAGAAAGAGATTTGAAATGAACCTGGAGCTGTCAGATCCGTTCCGGGGACGGCCACATCTCACCGGGCAGCAGCTGGGGCAGGGGCAGCTCACCGCGGAGCTCACCCTGCAGGGAGCCCTCCCTTCAGCTCACCTCCCGCCGCTGCGAGGCTTTCCCCTACCCCCTGCTCGCTGCATCTCCCCGGGGCCGCCGGTGCTCGCCACCGAAGCGCGGCCAGACCCCGTTAGGCAAGCAGCAGGCGAAAACACCATTGTGCTTCCCCGGCACCAGCAGGAGGAGGAGGAGGAGGAGGAGGCGGCAGCCGCCGGCCTCGCCCACGCCCGCAGCCCGGGGGCGGCTCCGCCCGGCTCCCGCGGTGCCGGCGGGCACGGGGCAGGGCGGGCGCTGCCGGGGCGCTCTCCCCCTCAGCACCACGCGTCCCCCCCCGCGGTGCCGTCCCCACCTCCCGCTCAGCACCGTGCGGATCCCGTTACCGGCCCGGCTCCCCCCCGAGCCCACAGCCCGGCCCCCCGCGGCCCCGCTCCCCCTCCCCGGCCGCCCCCCGGTGCCGGTGCCGGTGGCGGAGCGGCAGCCAGCCAGCCATTCAAAATGGCGGCCCCGCTCGCCTTTAAACCCCGCGCACGGCCCCGCCCCGGCCCCGCGGCCCCGCCGCCGGTTCCCGCTGCCCCCCCCTCACCCTCACCCTCCACACCTCCGCCCCTCCCCTCCCCGCTGCCCCCCGAGGGCTGAAGGCGCCGCCCGGCGGCCCCCACGCTTCGCCCTCCCCTTCACACCCGTGTCCCCCCCCCCCCTCCCATCCCTCCCGGTTCCCCGGGGCGGCCCCCGCCATCCCGTGTCAGCAGCGGGCCGCCCCCTGGCGTCGGGCTGCCGCAGCGTCCCGCCGGGCCGAGCCCGAGCCCGGCAGGTGCCGGGGCGCTGAGGAGGAGGAGGATGAGGAAGGCGGAGGGAGGGGAGGGGGGGGGGGGGGGTTCTCGCTTACCTCCCGCGCGCCATGGTGGTGGCCGGGCTCGGCGGGGCGGCGGGCGGAGGGGCCGGGGGAAGGCACCCACCGACGGGCGCCTTCCCGAGCCGCTGGGGGAGGACGCGGAGGAGGACGAGGAGAAGGAGGAGGATGAGGAGGGTGGAGGAGAAGGAGCCAGCCGCAGCGAGCCAGCCAGCCGGCCGGGAGGGGCGGCGGGCAGCCGCGGCCCCAGCGCTGCCTCACGCCGCAGCCGCCGCCGCGCACCTGCCCGCCCGCCTGCCCGCCGCCCTCACGGGCGCCCGGCGGTTGCGCGCGGGGGCGCTCGAGGGCAGCGGGAGCCCGCGGGCGGGGCGGGGCGGGGCGGGGCCGGGCCGGGCAGGGCCCTCCCGCGGCCCCCGGTGGGGGCTGAGGGGCTGAGCCCGGCCCCGCGGTGCATGGGGGTCGGGGGGTGCCTGAGGGGTGGGTGCCGCCGGGCAGCTGGAGCTGGGACGCAGGAGGGCGGCCAGGTGGGGTTTGGGTGTCTCCAGAGGAGGAGGCGCCTCAAGGGGAGGCTGGGGAGCACAGCTCTGCTTGGGTTTATTGGGGTGTAGGGCTGGGAAGCTGCTCTGTGAGTGTCTCCCAGGTGAAATTGAAGTAGCCGTGTTTTGCTAGTGCTCCTAGTGCTTGGCTACGCTACCTAAAATTAGTTGGAAAACCAACCAACCAACCAACCAAACCAAACCAAACCAACAACAAAACAAACAACGCAAAACCAAGCAACCAAAGAAACCACCACAGCCAGAACTTAATTTCTCATTTTTTCCCTTTATCTCCAATAGATGAGGAAAAGTTCTTGCTTGGTGTTTCATCTTTTTTTTTTCTTTTCATCATTTTCTCGGTTAAAGAAATCTATCTACCTGCCTTGCTTTTGTGCCCCCGTTATATGGCACAGCCTGCTTTTATAGCAAGCTTGTATAAAACAAATTACATATTAAAAATAAACAGAATTCAACTCTTTCAATAAATAACTGAACTGCAAATAGCTTGAAGGACTGCACAAACACATGCTTTTATGCCACGTTCCATTTCTCAGCTTTTAGTCATTGTGCTTGTTCATAGGGTTTCCCCTGAGAACTTGGTGGAAAAACTGTTTCTTCTGATGCAGATTACACAGATATATACATTTTCATGAAGTACGAGATCTTTTCTTAAGGTGATCTGTTAATGACCTGCCACCACTGGTGAAAAAGCACTAAAGATACTTTGCAAAACAAAAGTGCTTGAAAAAGCACTTCTAATTTTCATGCTATATATCCCACTCAAAGCAAAACAAAATATTTAGCTTATTTGTGCTGTGCTGCTATCAAAAATATTCACTGGAATAATACATGAAAATGTGTCATAAAATCATTAAATATATATATGTTTTTCTAGCGAGGATTACTAAAGCCCACTTTAGGAAAAAAAAAAAAAAAAGAAAAACATTGAATAAATCGTGCTATTTTCTATTTTTTAACAGTGCCTCCCACTGAACATTAGAAAAGGAGGAACTGAGATGCTGATTGTGGGGAGGAAATTTCCAAGGTTCCAGGTAACATTTTTTTGGGGAACCTTCCTGGGTTTCTGGAGACTGGTCCAAAGCCAGTGCTTGTAGACTGTGGAGGGTTGCCCCTGTTCCATTCCCGTTGCCTCCCAGAGCAGAGCGCATGCACTCATGTTATCCTGCAGAGTCTTTTGCTCAAACCATATTTTGCTCAAACCATATTTTCTTTCCTGACAGTATCATCTCCAAGCTGCCAGCCCCTTCGTTAGTCGTGCTTTATGCCAGCTTAATCAGGGTCTGAGTAGGCACTTCTGGAGACTGCCTATAGTTTTATCTACAATATTTTTATGAACTGTTATTTCTTATAGATGGGTGTGTTTTTGTCAGCCATTACTAAAATTGCCTAAAAATTTCCCATTGTATGGCAGTTTTCCAGTTACTTACATCTTCGACAAGCTAGCTCTTCAGTATGATTTTTTTCCATGCCTTCTGTTGCAGGCTGTTTACATTTTTCCTAGTAATCTACAGGAGGAAGATTTAAAAAAAATATATTTTTTTGTCCATGCTGAGATGTTATTTTCTTCAAAACGATCTAGTGGTCCCATCCCTAAGGGTGTTAAGGCAGGAAAATGCCTTCTGTTGTTTGTGTGGGTGCTCTGTCCAGATCTGGCTGAGCTGCTGCCCATTGCCTAACTGCAGTTTGCACATGCGGAGAGGCTTTCTGAACAGCTACAATCTGCAGAGATCTGGCTGGGACTCAGAATACCCAAGTCACTTTGATCACTCAGTGGTCTTTTGAAGTGAATGGGTACAGTTCTCGTGCTCCCCCTTCCTTGCACCATAGCCAGGGCTACAGGATCTCAGAAAAAGCTTTCCATGGATGCTTTTAGCTGCTACTTCTCCTGAATAGGTTCCTGTGCTGGAACTGAAAACAGGGATCTCTCCGCTTTGTCCTTTTAGTGACCCTTACTGCTAGCACCCTGGAAGCATGAAGGAAGAAGCTGTTTGAGTCAAACGGAAAAAAAGACAAATGGCAGGCCACGATGAGGAAAAAAATATATTAAGAGAAGGGGTCTCCTGAGATCGGGATAGCACAAGAGGTAAAAAGCCAAGTCTAGAGATTAGAGACTTACTGGCCAAGAACATTTCACCTCATATTAGCATGTTTATTTGCTAGCATTGTGTAATCTACAATATGCAAAGCATGAGTTACGGAAGACTGGGTTATTGTTGGCTGGAAGAGATGTTACCAGCATCTGTGGGAAGCAGCAGCGTCTCCTCTGCTAGGTTGTGAGGGCAGGGACAGGGGGAGTGTGTGTGGGTGAGACTGACTGCAAAACCACGAGGGAAGCATGGGAAGTTTGTGGGAGATTGGGATACGCTGAGAGAAGGAAGGGGCTGGGAACACAGTGGAGACAGAAAAGAAGGAAAATGGGAACTGAAAAACGTAGTGAAATAGATTAGTTAAGGAGCAGCAGTAAACAGAGGCAGGACAGAAACGTGGAAGAAACTTGACTGGAACCAGTGCGTGTCTGGTGTGTCAGCATCCTGGGAACATCCCCTCCCAGGGGTTTGGCTGCCCAGGTTAGGGCCCCCTTAGCAATAGTGTTGCTGGTAACCTTGAAAGAGCAAGCCAGGAGAAACCCCAGTGAGGGCCTGCTGCTCCAGGAGCTGTTTTTAAGTGGAGGCTGCAGCCTTTGTTCCCAGCAGGAACACCAGAACAAGGAACATTGCCTGGCCCTGCTGCTCTGGAGCCTGGTTGGTGACGCATTTGACCTCAGTCCTCATCCCATGGGCTTGTGTGGACCTTTTCTTGTGGCTTCACATCCCAGCAGCACAAACTTACAGGGTTGCTCCCTCAGCTTGGAAAGGCATTTAACAGGTATTCACCCTAAAGGTCTCAAGCTTGGTGAGAAATCATGGTTACCATATCCTCCATATAACCCCATTTTCACTGATTTTTTTTATAAACACATCAAGTGTAATGTAAAGCTCAAACAAAGTCAAATTACTATAGTTAAGTGTTCCCTGCATTTTTACTGCAAAACTGATATAAAATATGCTATAGAAGGACTCTGATGAGGGTCTTGTTTTCTGTTCCCTGTTTTCTTCCCCCAGAACTTGCTCTGGCCTCACTGAAGGTCCAAACTGGGCTGTAGTGTCATGGCTAGCAATGACTATATGCAGTTACAGAACTCTCTTTTTTCTCCTTTTAGCCATTAGCCTCCTTCTTTGCCCTTTGGGATTCTTCTAATTTTTTAATGACCCAATGAAAATGTTAGTAACAGAAAATTTCCTATTTTTCTTCTGTCTTCCTCCTGTTTTATTTGCTTTTACCAGTGGGGCTAAAGAAAGTGTCTTTGTTGTTGTTGTTGTTGTTTTGTTTTGTTTTTATTAGTTTAGAAAAGCTGTGCCAAAATACGCTGTTCTGCTTTATTTTGTGGCTTTGTGAAAATCAAGCAGCATTTTATGAAGCTTTAAATTTTAATACAAGATCCCCACGAACATTCAGTTCCCAAATCTAGAGAGATATCTAAGCCCATGAGCATTCAATATGGTAATCAGAGAAAAACGTTTTATCACAAATGCCTTCTTGTACATTTACTTAGTTGCAGCCAAGTCAATTGCATTTCAGTCAAACCTTTATTACTGGCACACTAAGAGCACTCTGCCAAGTCTCAACGGTTGACTTCAGACCTTTTTCTAAGCCTCTAATATTTACTACCCTTACAAGACTGCATTTAATTCCAAACCAGTAGCAATTTTGCCTTCTTTCAATGAGCGATCATTTCTTTTCCTGGCCCTCTGGCTCAGCTCTGCTAATTGGAATGGAAGCTGAGGTTATGCTCATTATGGAAGTTGGTGCAGCAACTGAGTTGGGGATGTCAGAAACTTGCCAAGGCATCAACTGATGATGGGTTGATCAGGAGGATCAGTATTCGGCTTTTCATCTAATGCTCATTAAAAGCAAGAGCAATAGCAAAGAGCCCCTCCTGGTGTAGGATGAGGGATTTACGGGAAAGCTGAGTTGGTGCCTAGGATTTTCAGACTTAAACAATTATTTTAAAAGGGCCACAGTCACATTTAAATACTGTTTTTAGGAATTCACCAACATATACTTGGCAAAACATTAACATTTTAATGCTTTTAAAATCAATATGTATAGCCTTTAAGAATAACAGTCCTAAGAAAATGTTAGCTCAGTGTTAGGAATTAATTTTATTTTGTTATGACCAGGACTGGTCTGTGAGTTTTATTGCATTACATTGTATGCAGTTTTCATCAGCTCAAACTGTCTGGATCCTTACAGCAGCTTGATTTAAGGAGTTTGAACTTCTTTCCTTGGGGAACCGCAGGCTCAAAAAATTGAATTGTTAGCTGGTAAGAAAAAATTACAGAACATTTTTCAAAGTATACAGTGGTGGAGAAAGGAAATGATTGCTTGGAGTTGGGGGCGTAGAGTGTGAAAGTACCGGCTTCATGATTCTGTGGGTGGTAAGCCACAGTTGGTTTCTACATTTACTTTGTTTTTTTTTTCATCTACCTTTATTCCAGTCACAAGAGCTAATTACAGTCATTCGGGTCAGCATTGCTCTCTTCTAGTAAATACTGAAACAAACAGGTAGAGAAATTAACAAGATTGAGAAGGAGTGCAACTCCACTGGACTAGGATAACACACAACTAGACCAGTAATTTCCAAGCGCTCATTGTCAGTGTCACTTTTATTGTTAATCATGAATTTTAAGAGTGAAACCTTAATTGATAAGCAGGGCTTAGAGTGCTCAAAAATATTGTCTCAACAATGAGAGTGTTTCACTCTTGTGTTACGTCTGCCACTTCAGTGAGAATCAATCAGAATTTGCTCACAAATTAATTGCAGAAGTGCATCATGCTGCTAAAAGGTGAACTGTTTGAAATCTAAACTGATTAAAAAGTAGAATGCTTTCATATAGGAGTCTTCCTTCACATTTCCCATACCCTTTTAATTAAAAATAAAAAGAAGGCGAAGATAGAAGCACAGTGATTAAATACATTTTGATTTTTTTTTTTCTGTCTTTCTTCAAAAGTCAGTGTAGTCTAAGTCCCAGTGTGCTTGCTGTCAGAGCTAAACTGAAAATAACTAGGCAGAGCCTAAATAACAATGTGCGTGGGGAAGGAAGCACAGTATGGATATTTTAGCAAATCCTACTTGTTTAATCTTTTAGGTATGCAAAGAAGTTGACAGATAACAGCCAGAGATAAAAATCATGGAGTGAAAAGAGACAAAGATGTTCTCCTTGTCCAAAGCTGAGCTAGGAAGCAGAGGATCAGCTTGCTGCGGGAACAGGAAGATCTTGGGACTTTTTCCAGCAGATCCTGGAGTATAAATAACAAAGGCACAGCTGAGTCTCCAAATAAAGCGAACAAATCAGTTAGCCACAGAATAGTGAAGGAGGCAAAGGTTCTCTGTGCAATCAGGGAGGAAACACTGCTGATGAAAAGGAGGGCAGGGAAATTGGAGCGTCAAAAATCTGACAATCACTGAAGGACCGAGTAGCGTGCGTTGATGAAAGTGCTGAAGAGAAGACTCCACGCCAGAGCCAGGTGGAAATGGGGAAAGAAGGGACACAGGGCTGGAAGTCAGCAGCTGGAAGGCTGGGTGATGAACTGTGAACATGTTAAAAAATGTCCAACAGTCTGGTATTTTCTCTCTCAGAGACAGAGCAGTGGCACCACGTGACAGGTACTCTGAATTTATTAGGCTTAATAATGTAGGCTACTGAAGTGCAAAGCTAAATCCATTGCTAGAAAAACTCCACTGCAGGCAATGGAAGTATCAAATCAATTATTGTGGACCCCCAATACTGCAATTTATAGAGATTGATGCATGTTTAAGTAGCCAAGTGTGCAACTTCTAGCTTTAAGCCCGGTCCTTTCCCCAAGCAGTTTTTGTACTTCAGCAATACATCATTCATCTAAGGAGCTGAAAGCTGCTCTTCTATGTGTTTCTTCAAGTGCCATGCTTCAGTTTTCATGTATCCCCTCCTAATCCTAGCTCTATTTTAATTTATCAAAACACATAGACCTGAGTCTCCATTTCCTTTTATTATCAAGAGATAAAAATGGTAGTGATACAAATTGGAGGAGAGGAGACTTTTCCATCCTTGTATGATTGATTATTCATGCTGGAAAATACCACCCAATAAATAAGTGTGGAAGACTCTAATTGTCTGTGAATTATTTTGGTAAAAAACATTCATGGCTCGACTCATATATCATTTTCATGTTATTTATTGGTGGACATTTGTGACCCTAATTAAAGAAATAGTTGCAGGTGACCCAATATTAACAGAAGAATGATCATTTCCTGTGGCCCAGTTTCATGAATGCATTATCTTCCTTTAAACCTAGATTTCTGCGCTGGGGAACAATAACATACCAGTGCTGCCTCATGGAATCTGCCTCAATTACCATGACCTTTGGTTTGCTCAACCTTTTGCTTCCATTGTTAATTATACATGCATTATAGTTTCTATAGAAGAGATAATGTGATCATTATTAAAAATCAGGCTTACTTTCTTTCTTTTAAAGAAAGGAGAAAATATGGAGAACCCATAACAGCAAACAAACGAGCCCAGAAAGAAGTGAGGAGATGGAGCATTCACGAGATTTGAAATTGGACTCAGTACAGCCTGAAACAGTGCAGAGATACAATGCAAGTAGGAGTAAAACAACTAATTCTTGGACAAAGCCAAAGATATTTGCTGTTATACACAGCACTTCAAGGTGGTGTAGTTTTGGTTTTGTTTGTTTTTGCATAATCAAGTGTAACATCAGTGAAAGATGACAGATTAACAGCCCTCTGAAGGACAGGTTTGCAGTATTGGAGCACGGGAAGTTGCTGAATTCTTGCAAGACACCATCTTTTGGTCCTGGCTTGGAGGATTTATTTCTCTTATTTTCATAAATAAGAGTAAAGTTTGGAAGAGGATGTTGCCTGGATGACATGATACTACCCTCAGAGGTAGGTCTTGGTTCTTTTCCCAGGTCTGAACTGTTTTCATCAGGACAAGCAGTTGCTCAAGTCACAGTTTGAGATATTCTTCAAGCTGGAAGGACCACTGGAAAAAAACATTCTGCCTAAAGCTGATTCTGGCACAAATGTGTGCCTTCCCTCAGGGGAAATTGTCCTAGGGAATGGACTTGGCAGAAGTACTTTTTTTTTTTTTTTTTTCTTTTTTCCAGCTAGATGATTTTTACATACAGGTGATTTTTCATCTAGGAAAGTCCCCTGGTTGTGGTTCACTGTGCAAGGGAATGAGAATGATTTGAGTGGGAAGAGGGGGAAGCCTCCCCATTTGGTATGTCCGATTTAGCTGCACTCATCAGGTGGGAACAGAGCTATCAAAGGTTGCTGTGGACATCAACACTACCAAGTCCACCACTAAACCATGTCCCTAAGCACTACAGCCACGTGTTGCTTAAGAACCCCCATGGGTGGTGACTCCACCAACTCCCTGTGCAGCCTGTTTCGAAGCCTTTTGCATGAAGAAGTTTTTGATATCCAGTCTAAACCTCCTCTGGTGCAATGTGAGGCCATTTCCTCATGTCCTGACACTGAATATCAATGAGAAGTGCCTTTTCCAAGCTAAATGACTAGCTCAGCCTCTCCTGCATGACAGGTGCTGCAATCCTCTAATCATCTTAGTGACCCTCTGCTGGAGCTGCTCAACTTCTTATAGAGATATACAGGACATCAAACATATGCCTTTCCCGGGTGTCAATAACCTGTTATAAGTGCCTACTTCAAATATTTGACATTGCTTAGCAGCTTGCAGTGCCCTTCTTACGCTTACAAACATTTTGATGACTTTCACTGCTTCATAATCTGCTGTATATAGGAGTAACCAGGGAATTGCTTTTTCTAACTTCTCTTTAAACACTCATTGCTTCTAGGAACCCCCCTAAATCAATGCCAATATTTTTTCTTCCTGGTCTCTACTAAGTTCCTTTGAGCCTGTAGGATTTTATCAAAGATTTGGTCTTACTTTTGAAAGGAGAATTATTAAGAGAAAAGACCGGAAGAAAATCGGCTGAGACAGATCCTGTAAGTTCCACTAAGACAAGTGCCAAGTCCTACAGCTGGTGAGGAATAATGCAATGGGTCAGCATGTGCTGGGGGCTTGCTGCCTAGAAAGCACCTTTGCAGAGAAGGACCTGCAGTCCTGGAGGACACCAGCTTAAACATAAGTCAGCAACAGGCTCTTGCAGCAGAGAAAGCCAACAGCACCCCAGGCAGCAGGATGCAAGGGGCATTGCTAGCAGGTCAAGGGAGGTGATCCTTTCCCTCCACTTAGTACTGGTGAGGGAAGTCTGGAGTACTGCATCCTGTTTTGGGCTTCCCAGTACAAGAGAGACGTGCTGGACTGAGTCCAGCAAAGTGCCACAAAGATGATTAAGGGATTGGAGCATCTGCCATGTGAGGAGAGGCTGAGAGAGCTGGGGCTGCTCAGCCTGGAGAAAGAAGGCTCAGGGGGATCTCATCAAGTAGAGAAGACAGGGCCAGCTCCTCTCAGTGGTGCCCAGTGAAAGGACAAGAGGCAATGGGTGTGAAATGAAATACAGAAAATTCCATTTGAACATACTTTGAAGATGATCAAAGGCTGGAACAGGTTGCTCAGAGAGGTTGTGGAGTCTCCATCCTTGGAGACCATCAAAATTTGTCTGGACGCCCTAGTCTCAGTGACTTTGTTTTGAACAGAGGAGTTGGACAAGATCATCTCCACAGGTCCCTTCCCACCTCGGTGATTCTGTAATTCTGTGATCTATGAAATAAAGCAAGCCATGTACAAGGTGTCACAGTAGTTAAATGAAAGGGAAGACATTGAAAGATATTTGTTTGACTCTGAAAAGATCCATGGTTTAATTTAACATTAGCTAGAAAGGAAAGGAGGACATTAACAAATGGAGGGAAAGAAGAAGATGTAGCAAGTTGGAAAAACCTAGCAAGGCAATGTGGTAGAAACAAGGCTGTTCTATAATAAACATGGAATGTAGCAAGTAGTAAATAGTAAATAAAGGGGTCCTGCAGAGGACAGGCAGCAGAAGGATATGTGTTACAAAAGCAGATATATGTAATTGTCAGCACAAGGTAATAGCTTGATAATAATGAAACAGTAACACAAGTACTTAACTCATATGGTGCCTGTCTTCCATAGGTCTCCAGGCACTTTCGCAGAAACAAAAAACAAGCATAAACACACAGCTGGGAGAGTAGAGGCTTGATGCAGAAATGGAGCGTTTTTCTAAAGGAAGCTTAATTACAAACTAGTTTTGGTGCTAGGGGTAATACATAAGCAAAGAGTGAATTGCAAACTAGAAAATGAAGCTAAACATAAATATAATCAGAGGCCGTATAACTAGTATAAATTAATTTTAACACAGGACCAGACTCTTCACTGGGAGCAGATACCTGCAGCTTAGCTGCAGCTGTATGCAGCTGCATGGGACCATCTGGGTGGGATGGTTTGCAAGAGCAGTGCTCAGGTAAGGCTGTTTCAAAATTAAGAAAAGTGAGAGGAACTTCAGTTCTTAACTTAAGTTAATAACTAACTCCATGTTGTCTGGGTGGAATTTGTAATAGTGGAATATGATACAGAGTTAGTGCAATTAAAGTGCATTGTGCAAATTAGAGCTGGTCAAATAAATAAGCAAGGGTCTGCTGAATTCAGACCATGGTTTTAAACAGAACTCAGACATGTTTTTGGGGAGCAGAGACAACCAGCTTGTTCTCCATCTTTCGATTAAAAAAAAAAAAAGTAAAAAAAATTGGGAAGTCCTTTGTTTTCTGCACATTGCAGAGCAGACAGCTTTCACAAAAAAAATAAAAAAAAGTCTTAAAAGGGGAAATTCTTCCCTTCCTCAAATCTGCTCACTTAAAACAGTAACATATCATATATTGCAGTATGTAGATCTAATTGTATCACAAGGGAACATGTTCATCTTGTAAGTCCTATTGGCACTGAGAAAACTGTGTATCTCAGGACTAACAAGCTCCTTGTCTTCTCAGGGATGAGAACCTTCCTCTGTGCCTTGGCCAATTGGCCTGGGGTAGCCAGGTCTGTGTTATTAAACGCTCTGTCTTTCAAAGACACAACTGAAGATGGTCCCTCCATGCACTAACTCCTGAACTGTGCCCGAAAATTGCTGAGCTAATTGGTTCAGTGTTGGAGTAAATTCCTGTGTCAGACCCATTTTCTGGCACTATTTAGTTTGCCACTACACATGTAACCATATTTCCTCATCACACTATCTGAATGCCTCATAGCCATTAATGGGTTTTATTTCTTATGGCAGTCATGAAAGAAAACAAACTATTTTTCTAATTTTACAGACAGGAGATGTAAGTGTGTGCAACATAAAGGAAAAAAAAACATTTTCTTGTTGTCACTGATGCTTATATGGATGAGCTGGGAAGTGAATGACTATCAATCACCTCATGTTTAGCCTACTGGACTATTCATTAGACTATTGTTTTCTTATAAAGTAAAACCTTAGAAAGTTAAGCAAATTAAATTTGATTATACAATTTTACAGATTATTTAGGGTTTTAGTAAAGCTGAAACAACCGAACAGATCAAGATTTACTGTAGATCATGGAGATGTCAATAAATATGACTAAGACATCAGCTGAAAATGCTGCTCTAAGATAACATCTGTGCACTTCATGTGCAGATTTTTACATTTAAGAAAACATTCAGTTTTGATTTAAGCCAAGGGGAATTGCAGATCTAACCTGATACAATAAGCACAAGATGCTGCTTCATCACAAGCTGTTTCATCACAAATTTTCATCACCTTTTAGATAAAGAAAGGTGCATACATACGTTTACACAATTTGTTATAACTTCTACACCACCCATTTACTAAGTCATCATATGTTAGCTCTTTGGGTTCTCTATAGGGATATCATGAAGACAGAATATGATCTGATTTGAGGTAAAACCCCCAACGTATTTTACAGTACGTATTTTAAAAGATTGTAAAACTTACAATGTGCTAAACAAACTTATCGAACACAAGATCTCTTAAGAGAACAGGAGTAAACACTGTGTAATTACATGGCATATATATCCTACATCAAAAAAAAAAAGAAAGGGGGGGAGGAAAGATAAGCAGTTTTGAATGAAAATGTCAAATTTATAACAGGAAAGAATTCAAAAGTTG